GATAACAGGGTCTGTTTAAGTCTATAATAACATCGCCCTGACAACAACACAACAGTGATAAAACTTCCTATCATACATCTCATGCGAAAAATATTTAACCTTTTACATAGCAATCTGTTCTTTGTAGATACATACAGTTGTAAATTTAACAAAACTATACCAAAATTATTTATTGGACAGTAAAAATTGAATTAAAATAGGAGGTAAGTAATCCTTTTTGGAATGGACCTATAGTCTGCACCTATAGCCACTAGCCCAAATTCCCTGACTAGTAAAAATGTGTTTGGGCTAATGAAAATTTTCAAAAAAATTGTTGGACAAATAGAAATATTTTCTTGAAATCCGGTTTTTGGGCTATTAGCTGAAAAAGTTTTTGGCACAGACTGGACCTATAACATGTATAATGACCCTCAAAAGCACTGGTGTTAAACTGATCGTGAAACCACAATCCCAACATGGCGGAGGTAAAAATCGGTAAAATCGTTTTCTGCTAATTTCTCTGTGTAAACGTGTTGTTTTTCAAAAATAACTCTGACGCCAGGTTGATCTGTTCAATTCTGTTGTGTGTGTGTGTGATCTTAATATCATTTTGGCCCCGTTAACAAAATAAGAGCCATCGTAAATTTAAGGAAGATAATCGTAACTCCATGAAATTTGTTTGATATGATCATTTGATGATAATCAGAACTGGACTATCAGATAGTCGTAATTTGGACATGATAATAGTAACTTATCAGTGATAATCGTAACTGTATCTCTTGACGCGGTCTGCAAATATATCTAAATCTTGTTTAAAAGTTTGATAGTGTATCCATAATTAGTGAATATTATTGGTTATCTTAAACTAATTTACTTTTTGCTTTGTAGATATAGTCTATATATCTTTACACATATAATCTACAAAAAAATAAAGGTAAGTTACTAAGATTGTTAAATTAAGATATAATTCATTGAAGCTATACTTTAGTATAGTTTTAACATAGGGAGGTACATGTATTATAGTCGTGAATATTGTGGCCCGAGTGGTAGCGATAGCAGGGCAATAAAGTAATAGCACTGTGACATCAGCCAAAAAACATCTTAATCACTGCCAGAAACAATACAGAATGAGGAATGAACCACAAAACAAACAAAGACTTATCACTGCAGAAGATAACTTTGATAAAGCAAAAGAAGAGGCACAAGAAGAATGGAGTAATAACCTCGTAAACCAGATAAACCAGGCTAATTGCTCTAATTTAAAAGACTTTTTGAAAACCTACAAAAAGATGTCCAGAAAAACAAAAGATTACTCAGTGCCACCATTAATTGTTGAAAATAAAGATCCGATATTTGACAATAAAGGTAAAGTTGTACATTGAAAGAAAGTATCTTCTTTGGAGGGAGCTACAATGTAATGAAAGCTGACTCATTTGATAAAGAATTCATCGAGGAGATCAACAAAGAATATATAAAGAAACTACTGGAACAGATCAACAAAGAGATGGCTTTGATAGAGAATCAACAAAGACGAGATAGTCATTAGAAGCCGCCATATACCGCCTCCGTACAGGCCCGGATCAGCAGTTTGCTGAATTTTTCAAGCATGCAGGTGATAACTAATGGTTCTGGAGCACTGCACTAAACAATTAATGATCAGTTCTCTGAGGTCAAAATACTATCAAATAGCCAGACTGCTGTGAGGCATCTCGACTCTAAACTGGAAATCTTCAAACACAATAACAGACATTAGATAAAGCATGGAGACACTCTTGAAACACAACATACTAACAACCCGATCTTGAATCCCAGGCCATGCTCATATAGTCGGGAATGAGATAGCGGACCAATTGGCAAAAGATGCAGCAAAGGAGGCCTAAACGACCAAGATATAATGTCATAACGATGTCAGATGAAAGAAGCTCAGTTAACATGTCTATAAAATTGAAATGGAAAAGCAGATGGACAATTGGTGAAACTGGGAGACAACGTTTCAATCCAGTACCTATTGTTGGGAAGGATGTACAACTTGACACACCAAACCCCAAATAGGATGAATATTGTAAGAACTGAGAACAGGTTACAGCAGATTTAATAAATACAGAAACCAAATATGTCAATCTCCCAAGCCTTATATGTCATACGCCATTATAGAAACAACAGAACATTTCTTACTATACAGCCCAAGACACCAACCGGAAAGAGAAGACATGTTGAGACAGATGGAAATAATAAACATCTCAACAGACATAAAATCAATATCGTCACCACCAAAGAGAAAACTTACGAAGCAACATCTCAAATTGTAGGGGAATACATAGCAAGATCAAGGCGATTTAAAGAACTGGCAAGCCCTGAATCCCGATGCTGCGCCTAAACAGGTATACTAAAGTACCGTGAGAAATTTCTTTGCATACATGCAGTCTTCACGATAAACTTTGGAATCTGTAGTCAGTAACCAAATTAGAGAGAATAGGGATTGATAAGGGATTCTGAGTGTGGCCAAATCAGAAAATTGCTTCAGATTCAGAATTCTTAAAAGGGGAATAGGTGACCATCTGATGAATCTCATTACATAATGTAGCTGACCATCAAATCCAATTGCAGGGCCTAATCTAGGATTTTGAAGAGGGAGAAGTGACTTCTCCTTCCATGAGAGAGAAAGGAGAAGCGGTCAACTTCTTGGAGAAGTGAGATTCCATTACCGTTTCGGTTGCATCGTGTTTTCATGCTTATCGCTAAGGAAATTGTTTTATATTCAATAAAAGATATACTTGCAGTTTTTTCATATGTTATTGTACACAATGTATATATAGAAAGTTCTTAATAAAAAGGTTTAGACAATATATAGTTGTTATTTATTTATTGATACCATTGTGTTCCAGTAAATAAAATTTGTAAATTGGGACATGAGGGAGTAGCCTGCTAGTAATATTATCATGATTATGATGCATTAAATTCATGTGCATCTGCCTCAATTTATTTTTAAAAGTCCAGAAAAAATATAACTCCCAGTTTACCTGATGAATTTCACATGACTGGGAATTTAATTTATATCACCACTTGTCATTATTTTGTAAAATATTATTGAATGTCTGGACATTATGTTAGTTGTAAATTGAGATTATCGTTTAAGATTGTAAGTCTATAAATGAAAATATCTTTCAATCGCAATCCGACAAAGAGCTAATTTCTATCATTTTTTAAAAATATCATCCATATCAACGAAATGGTCGTGAGAAACAATCCACTGCTGATCAAAACCTGGTCGAGTGTCATACGTTTGCAATCACATTATCCATCAGCAGTCTTTCTACCTTTTATATTTCAATATTTATTCAATCAATATAATAAATCTACCATTAATTCCCACCTTTTACCTACCGAATAGTAAAATTGATCGACTCGTGTAAGCTATAAAAATAAAACAAATCAGCTGAGTGATTACGCAACATCCTCAGATGAAAATCATCGTAAAATGATAACTTAAACAGACGGTCAGTTTTCCGTTAGAACAGTTTTGAAAGTTATATCCGAGGATGTTCAAAGTCGCCGTTGTATTTATTTAATTTCATCGTTGACAGTATTAGTCCTGGGTCGTTTTGAAAATCTCGATTTTCCTTGTCAGCCGCCATTTTTTTTACCTGTGAGACTTGTCATTCACAAGTTGTCTCCCTTTTACCGATTTTGATAGCGATTTGACTTCGCTATGAAGTCAGTCGGCCGGCGAGATTTAGCGATTTTCAAAATTCTTTGGCGACTTAAATCGTCATTTCGCCGGCAAGATTATGGCCTGAATTGTTAAAAACAAATAACCTTCTGGAGTTTATTCTTCTTCTTGCAAGCGGCCATCATCAACTGGTTAACTATTCTGCCTCCTATAAGATTCTTATTGGAGGCATCAATGCAAAATTGAATTAAAATTTCCAAGGCGTCAAAATAGTTTGGATTAATTTGTAGTAAGGGATAAAGAATAAATTTTCAAAAGAGAGTAATGCATCATAAAAGAGAGGAAAGAGATACCAGTGGGACATTCAATTCATAAGTTGAAAACAAACTGACAATGCCATGCCAAAAAAAAAAGAAAAACAATGGTACACAAAACACAACATATATAACTAAAGACTGAGAAACACTTAAACCCCACCAAATACCGGGGGTGATTGATTCACCTGCTCTGGAAGGCTACGGAAATCCTTCTTCCCGGTCCACATGTAGCACCCTTCGTGTTGCTCGTGCAAGTATAAACCGGGTGATAAGTCTAATTCGGTAGGTCACATTCGAGGAAAATTGGACAGGATTGTAGTTATTACAATTGGAACCTACATATCCGTCCTAGTCTGTGAAACAGATATTCCATAATTACAGATAGAGGGGTTATTGCCTGTACCAAGTCAAAAAACCAGGTTTTACCCAAAATTTTCTTCAGGTAATGCCTGTACCAAGTCAGGAATATGACAGTTGTTTTCCATTCGTTTGATGTGTTTGAGCTTTTGATTTTGCCATTTGATAGGGACTTTCCGTTTAGAATTTTCCTTGGAGTTCGGTATTTTAGTTATTTTACTTTTTATTACTCATATATAAGTAATTACACTAATAAATCATAAAATTCACTCTAACATGGTATTAAAATCACAGATATTAATCCGTTTTTCTCTCTTTTTCTAGTATAAAAGTTTGGGTCGTATTATCTAAATTAATTAAATTAAAAATTAGATAAATCGCATACTACTTTCGTCTGTCATCCTGCCGAAATTTCAATGACTGGTACCGATATCCTATAGTTAGTTAGTTGCTTGCTCTACGTGTAAGGCAGAACCAGTAAATGAACGGATTTTTGGTAAGAGTATTTACGACAATATTAAGTGAAGTAAAATATAAAAAGAATTGTTTTCAATCATAAAAAATTTTTTAGTAACTTTTCATAATGTGTATTGAATATATTTAAAAAAAAATTATTCTAATTTATCGATGAAAGAACAGAATCCGCTAATAACTTTTACGACTATATAAATCAGCTGACTTACTGTCAAACACCTCTCTCTTTCACAAACCCGAAAAAACTTCCTTTTTAGATAATGTCAACACCAACAAACTCCAATGACAAGTCAGAAAAGTTTCAAGATTTCTCCAACTGAAAGAGATTCAGAAAATTATAGTGAAGAAGAAGAAATTCGCACAAGAACACTCTCAGAAAAGTTGAAAAAAGTTCAAGGTATATAATTTCAATTCTGTCATTCATGTCATTTGCTTGCACACATTTAGGGGAATTTCCATCAAATTACCCTCAACACTGCAGGGAGTTGACTAATTGTCATTAACTTCAAGTTAGTTTACAAAATTTAAAATCAGACAATAACATGTTATAATATATATCATGTATATTTATCATTTGTTTGTGAAATTGTGTCCTGATTGTATCTGAAAGTGAAAAGAATGGATTTTAGTACACATTTTCCTTATTATATCAGCAGCACTTTGATAAATTTCTACATCATTAATATGATAACAGGTAAGTTCAAAAAAGTTTAGCGATAAATAAAAGGAGATTTAGGGCCTATATGTCTGTCTATGTCAATAAGACAGCAACCCAATGGGTTCATACAAGGATTTGTATAGTAATATGACCTTAAACTGTTAAATATAAAATTAAAAGATATTGTATGATTGCAGTCCGACAACTATCTTAACTCATTTTCATGATTCATTGATCAACATTAATTGTTCAAAATTCTTAGATACTGCAAGTACTTCATGTCATCTGTTTTTCAGATAACTAAATAACGAGATGTAGTGATTTCCTATGAGATAATTTATTTAGATCCTGGAAAACCAAATGAACAAGTTAATGTTTTCATTTCTAATTCATTCTTATTTCAAGATAAAGTTAGAGAATGTATTTTTTGTTTTTTATTAAATATTGAAAATAAGTTATATCAATTGAACAATCCTTAGTCTTTATATATTTAAATTGATTGAATAATAAATACACCCATCTGCCAAATGATCAACTAACAGTTATATGAAATATAATTCCAATGGTTTGATGTTTTACACTATTAAGCAAATGCCAAATACTGGTAGCTGTGTAAATCTTTGGCAAGAAAATGTAGTTTCAATAATCAAATAAACATAATATATTGCTGGAAATGAGAATTAAAAAGTCAGTTTGAGGTTATAGTCAAGTGTTTATTAGCATCTGGATAACAAAGAGCATTGTTCTATTAGTTGAATGTATTTCATCATGTAATAATATAAATCACATATTATGCCCTGGTTGCAATTTTTAAATACAAAAAGTTGTTCAATTTTAAGAACAAAAAGTTGTTCAATTTTAAAAATAACTTTGTGCCATAATTGAGGACTTATATTCAGTCAGACTTATTGCTGCTACCAAACACAAAACTGAAGTTAGTAAAAATTACAGATAATAAGCATGAAGTGTTTTGTATACAGGGAACAACTACAGCCTTTTAAACAACATTAACAGAAATTTGAAAACTGGAACATGTGGAAGTCACAAAAACTTTTGATTTCTCTCTTTTTTTTCTCACCTGCACTGAAGGTCATGAAGGTGAGACATACATGTAGCATTTATACATTGAAGTCTTCAGCATTATCAACATTTAGGGAACCCCTATATATATATATTTAGATAGAATTTGTCATTTCAGGACATAGATCTGTGCTGTAATTTTACGCGTGTAATATGCTTACAATATTCTATGAATAAAAGGAGATACGGTGTATACATTAATGAGACAGCAACCCAACGACACAAATAATCAAAAGACATCTAGAGGTCAACATACAGTCTTGTTTTTACTATATTTACAACTTATTTCTGGAATAATTAAAGATGTGACTATATACAGACAAAGGGTTCCAAATAACAAAACATTACAACATTAAACAAGACCAAAACAACAATAAACATAAGATTTCACTAAAACCAACAAAGTTTTTCACAATATAATACAAATTTGCTGTTTTGAAATAAAAATATTTATTTCTGTTTCATACAATTTATTCTGTATCTACATGCATTCATATGTTCACAATCACATTTCCTTGATATTAGACGTATCTAACACACCCATTACAATATCTAGATTCTAATGTGGCATGGGTGTTTGTCTATTATTTTAGGACATAATGTGCCCTTTATTTTGGTTAATTTGAGTTGTTGGATTTCTACATTGTATCTCTAAAGTTGACATATCCTTTTATACATGCTGTAAGACATTTAAATATTTTCAGAAATGACAGACTTTCCGGGAGAAAGGTTAACACCTGACAATGATGAGAATCCAGTTAATTCTGAAAAACCGGAAAATAATGAAAATCAAAGTATTAATTCTCCTCCAGAAAATAATGAAAATATTGGACGGTCTCGGCATGGTCCAAATCCATCAAAACCTCTAAAACGATCTCCTTCAACGCCATATTTGGAGGATAAACTCAGAAGAAAGTTGAAGTTCTTTTTTATGGGACCACATGAAAAAATAGTAGCTAGGAAAAAATGTCCTTGGAAACTTATATTACAGATACTGAAAGTTGTTATTGTGACAGCACAGGTGGGTATTCCTTCATTTATGATTTCATGAGATCATACATGAAAAAATAGAAGCTGGAAAAAATGTCCAATGAATATTATTGACTATGAAAGTTAAGGCACATGTCAGTGCTTGAAATACAACATAAATGTTAGAACTTCTGTAGAAACAACATATGTTTGATATTAAATGATTGTGTTACAGTTTTGTCGAGCCTGCGACTTTTGTCGCAGAAAGCTCGACATAGGGATAGTGATCCGGCGGCGGCGCCGTTAGCTAACTTCTTAAAAGCTTTATACTTTAGAAGGTGGAAGATCTGGATGCTTCATACTTTGTATATGGATGCCTCATGTTACGAAGTTTCCGTCAGTCACATGTCCAATGTCCTTGACCTCATTTTCATGGTTCAGTGACTACTTGAAAAAAAAGTTAAGATTTTTTGTAATGATAAATTCTCTCTTATTATAATTAAGTAATAGGATAACTATATTTGGTATGTGCGTACCATGCAAGGTCCTCATGCCCGTCAGACAGTTTTCACTTGACTTCAACCTCATTTTATGGATCAGTGAACAAGGTTAAGTTTTGGTGGTCAAGTCCATATCTCAGATACTATAAGCAATAGGTCTAGTATATTCGGTGTGTGGAAGGACTGTAAGGTGTACATGTCCAACTGGCAGGTGTCATCTGACCTTGACCTCATTTTCATGGTTCGGTGGTTATAGTTAAGTTTTTGTGTTTTGGTCTGTTTTTCTTATACTGTATGCAATAGGTCTACTATATTTGGTGTATGGAATGATTGTAAGGTGTACATGTCTAGCTGGCAGGTGTCATCTGACCTTGACCTCATTTTCATGGTTCAGTGGTCAAAGTTAAGTTTTTGAGTTTTGGTCTTTTTTTCTAATACTATATGCAATAGTTCAACTATATTTGGTGTATGGAAATATTTTATGATCTATATGTCAGTCAGGCAGGTTTTATTTGACCTTGACCTCATTTTCAAGGTTCATTGCTCAGTGTTAAGTTTTTGTGTTTTGGTCTGTTTTTCTTAAACTATAAACAATAGGTCAACTATATTTGTTGTATGGAAGAATTGTTAGCTATACATGCCTGCCTAGCATAGTTCATCTGACCTTTACCTCATTTTCATGGTTCATTGGTCAATGTTTAGTTTACTTGGTTAATGTTAAGTTTATGTGACAGTTGTAATAAAGCTTTATATTTAGGACTATCAACATTAGTAAAGAAGGCGAGACATTTCAGCGAGTGCACTCTTGTTTCTATATACAGGATTCTTCTTCTTCTTCTTCTTCTTTTAGGTCAACAAGGCTTCAATACTGAAGAATACATGTTGTTGCGCATGCGGGATTGACAAAAAAAAAATTTTTTATATGAATTAATAAAAATATTTACTAACAATTTAAGTGTTTGTATATACAGATTGTGATTAAAAAATATGCAATTTATGTACATGTTTTGGTTTGGATTTGTTTATTTGAAGCTAGAGAGAACAGCTGGTGTTAGCTGATCTCTAAAGCTGTCAACAGTGGCGGTTTCAATAACAGTTTGTGGTAGTAAGTTCCACTGAATAATTGTTCGCGGGAAGTACGACCATTTGTATGTGTCCTTGGAAGTTTGTATGTGTCTGTATGTCTGAGTATGGTTTTGTCTTGTTCTGCTGTCTGTTTGTTCAAGAATATGCGATGGAATGGCTACAAGACAGTGTATTACTTTGTAAAATAAAATAAGTCTGGTTTTTAGGCGTCTCTCAGCTAGTGGTGGCCATTTCAACTGATTTAGCATGTTTGTGACACTGCTCGTGTAATCGTAGTTGTTGTGTACATAACGAGCAGCTCGTCTCTGCACATTTTCTAATTTTATCTGTTGATCTTTCATATGGGGGTCCCAGACACTACAACTATATTCTAGTTTGGGTCTTACTAGTGCCTGGTATGCTCTTGATTTTATTTCTGTGTTAGTAACTTTTAAATTTCTTTTTAAAAAACCAAGTGATCTGTTCCCATTTGATACTATACTGTCTATGTGCTTGTTCCACTTAAGATTGGATTGTAAGGTGATGCCGAGGTATTTTGCAGATGTTACTTATTCGAGAATGTGATTGTGGAGGATGTAATTATGCTGGTAGTTATTTTTCTTTTGTGAGATGGTAAGGTTGGTACATTTATCAGGGTGAAATGCCATGAGCCAATCTGACTCCCATCGTGCTGCTGAGTCTAGATCTAGTTGCAGTTTATGACAATCATCCTGTGTTTTTATTTCCCTGTAAATTATGCTGTCATCTGCAAAGAGTCTTAGCTTGCTGTGTTGTAAATATTCAGGTAGGTCATTTATATAGATGAGGAACAGTATTGGGCCCAATACTGTTCCTTGTGGTACACCAGATGTTACGGGTACTGAGGTGGAAGAAATGCCATTGATGACGACTGTTTGTGTTCTGTCGTGTAGAAATGCCTGAATCCAATTTAGTGTGTTATTTTCAATACCATAGTAGTTGAGCTTGTATAGGAGGCGACGATGTGAGACTTTGTCGAACGCTTTAACGAAGTCCATTATGATTAAGTCAGTTTGTGTGTTGCTATTATTTGTTTGTGCTAGTTCTTGAATAAAATCTATTAACTGTGTTTCACACGACCTTGATTTTCTGAAGCCATGCTGAAGATCGTATAATATATGATGTTTATATCATATTATAGTGATATTAGATCACTGATTTTACTGGACAATTTTTGGTCATGAAATTTGAAGGATGGGATTATTTAAAGAGAAATAAGAAATTTCAGATTTTAAATGATGAGACTTAATTTGACATGTTTGATGCATAAGAGCCCTGCTATGCATTAACTTTCCCTGTAAAACACTGAGTAGATGTTTAAGATATTAAAAGTTAATCTTGGAAGATTTAAATACAAAAATAATGTGGTATGATTGCCAATGAGAAAACAATCCACCAGAGCCCAAATGGCATAGATGTAAGCAACTAAAGGTCACCTTACAGCCTTCAATGAGTAAAACCCACACCATTTAGTTAGATATAAAAGGCCCCTTCATGACAAAATGTAAAACAATTCAAACTAAAAAACAAACGCCTGATTTATGTACAAAACAAAATTATGAATAGAGTGACCAACTATATATATATAGCTACAACCACTGAATTACAGGCTCCTGACGTGGGACAGGAACATAGAGAATATAGCGGAGTTAAACATGTTAGCAAGCACTCAACCCTTTCCTAACCTAGGACAGTGGTGAAACAGCACAACATTATTTAAGAACAAACTATAACAATCAGTTGATAAAGGCTTAACTCATCAGATTAACACAAAACACCAAAAAAAAACTAAAAAGAGACAAAAAAATAAAAGTACCGATTTTAGAGTATTCATAGTTGATAAAACCTAGTTCAAAGCCATTACAACTAATCATGTTTCCCAGACTAAAATCAATCAGTACACATCCAATGGATTTAGTATAAAGTGGCCATTAACAGTCCGAGAAAATGCATGTACATTGTGTAAATTGAAGTAATTGTGTTAGGATTGATTTCTTAGTATGATGGCATGTTAACATCTTTTAACTTTTAACATTTTTGAAAGAGAGATATATTTTATTAAATACTTTTTATATATTTTCAGCTTGTTATGTTTGGAAAAGAGAGGTCATTGTTTGTTGAGTATGTTGAGAAAAACAATATAGCATTAAAACATCTGTATCTGAAGGACTGGGAAAACTCGTATGAAACTATGCCTTATCCTCCAGCTATAGGACAATATGCCATATACAACTTTGATGAACTGTATGAACATATTAACTTTGCAATGAAGCAGGTAAATAGCTTATGATATAATATATCCCCGCCTAGAAGGATTAGGGGTATATTACTGGTCTACCTCTGTCTTTCTGTATGTCAGTTACACATGTCTGTTGTATTTTTCTCAGAATCTATATTTTGTAGCTTTTTAGTCCCCTACCAACGAAGTCGAAGGGAATTTAGGTTTGCACTCCGTCCGTCTGTCTGTCTGTCTGTCTGTCTGTCCGTCCATCCGTCAGTCCGGCAAATCAGTTTTCCACACTTTTTTTTCTCGTGCTTGAAGATATTGATTTGATATTTGGTGTGTTGTTTTATCATAACAAGTTACAGATCAAGTTCGAATTTTGTTTCGGTCTGACGATTTTGTGCAGAGTTATGGTCCTTGAACTTAAAAAATTCACTCAAATAATCAGTTTTCCACACTTTTTTAGCTCACCTGGCCTGAAGGGCCAATTGAGCTTTTCTCATCACTTGGCGTCCGTCGTCGTCGTCGTTAGCTTTTTACAAAAATCTTCTCCTCTGAAACCACTGGGCCAAATTTAACCAAACTTGTCCACAATCATCATTAGGGTATCTAGTTTAAAAAATTCGTAAGGGTTCCGCGGAACCCAGTGTCTCGCCTACTTTTGCTGTTAATCGCAGGCTCAACAAAAATGAGGAAAAAAAAAAATAAAGATATTCCTATCTATACTATCTTTTGATTGTAAGTAGCTTCTGTCCAAGTTTGGTAAAAATCCAGGATAATTTATGAATCTAATAAATGTTTAAAAACATAAACTGCAGACTGTATGTAATGTTGACTGGAAGAATAACTAAGTCCCTTTATAAGTAAAATACGGAAAAAATGGAACAAAATTTTATCAAAATTTCCTTCTAGATACTAGCTTTTGATCATAAACAAGCTTCTGTCCAAGTGTGGTACAAATCCAGGATAGTTTAAGAAAGTTGTTAAAATTTTAAAAACTTTAACCACAGAGTGAATGTAATGTTAACTGGCAGAAAAACTAAGTCCATTTATAAGTAAAATACGGAAAAAATGGAATTTTTTTTTTACAAAATTTACTTCTGGATACTATCTTATGATCATAAACAAGCTTCTCTCCAAGTTTGGTAGAAATCCAGGATAGTTTAAGAAAGTTATTAAAATTTAAAAAACTTTAACCACAGAGTGAATGTAATGTTTCCTGGCAGAAAAACTAAGTCCATTTATAAGTAAAATACGGAAAAAATGGAATTTTTTTTTTACAAAATTTGCTTTTGAATATAATCTTATGATCATAAACAAGCTTCTGTCCAAGTTTGGTAGAAATCCAGGATAGTTTAAGAAAGTTATTAAAATTTAAAAAACTTTAACCACAGAGTGAATGTAATGTTTCCTGGCAGAAAAACTAAGTCCATTTATCAGTAAAATACGGAAAAAATGGATTTTTTTTTTACAAAATTTGCTTTTGAATATAATCTTATGATCATAAACAAGCTTCTGTCCAAGTTTGGTAGAAATCCAGGATAGTTTAAGAAAGTTATTAAAATTTAAAAAACTTTAACCACAGAGTGAATGTAATGTTTCCTGGCAGAAAAACTAAGTCCATTTATCAGTAAAATACGGAAAAAATGGATTTTTTTTTTACAAAATTTACTTTTGAATATAATCTTATGATCATAAACAAGCTTCTGTCCAAGTTTGGTAGAAATCCAGGAAAGTTTAAGAAAGTTATTAAAATTTCAAAAACTTTAACCACAGAGTGAATATTTGTGGACGCTGCCGACGACGACGCCGACGGAATGTAGGATCGCTATGTCTCGCTTTTTCGACAAAAGTCGAAGGCTCGACAAAAATGTGTCCGATGACCCCGCCCGCGAACCAAGATGGCCGACATGGCTAAAAAAATAGTTCATAGGGTAAAATGCAGTTTTTGGCTCATATCTCTGAAACCAAAGCATTTAGAGCAAATCTGACAGGATAAAATTGTTCATTAGGTCAAGATCTATCTGCCCTGAAATTTTCAGACCAATCAGGCAACACGTTGTTGGGTTTCTGCCCCTGAATTGGTAATTTTAAGAAAGTTTTGCAGCTTTTGGTTATTATCTTGAATATTATTATAGATATAGATAGAGATAAACTGTTAACAGCAATAATGTACAGCAAAGTAAGATCTACAAATAAGTCAGCATGACCAAAATTTTCAATTGACCCCTTAAGGAGTTATTGTCCTTTATAGTCAATTTTTTACAATTTTCATAAATTTTGTAAATTTTTGTAAATTTTTACAAAATATTTTCCACTGTAACTACTGGGCCAAGTTCATTATAGATAGAGATAATTGTAAGCAGCAAGAATGTTCAGTAAAGTAAGATCTACAAACACATTACCATCACCAAAACACAATTTTGTCATGAATCCATCTGTGTCCTTTGTTTAATATGCACATTTACCAAGGTGAGCGACACAGGCTCTTAAGAGCCTCTAGTTTTATTTATTAAAGATTTTCAGAAATATCCTGTAGAACATTTGAGTTAAGTTGACTTAACTTTGGTTGGAATCATTCTAAGGAGGTGTGTATACTTTATAAGCACTAAATTATTTTCCTAATAGCCATTAGTTATGGCTATCATAGGTTCAAATAAACACAGGGGTTTTAGTAAGTTGCCATGGTTATCATATGATATTAGTTACAGTTTTAATTTTTGATATTTTATACAAAAATGATTCAGTCATTAGGCCAATAAAAATGCACTGTTTTTGGTATAAACATATTGACACTTTCAATAAACTATTTCAGATCTAAGGAAATAATGACAATATAGGGACATGCTTAAAAATTAAAGCCTGGTAGCTAAGACCAATGGAACTCTGCAGTATTTATAATAGAAAACCTATTGATTTATTTTACAATTTTTTAGTATAATCGGACAGAAGACACAGCTCTTGCTGTTTTCCAGTTGGTACGTCAGAACGGATCTGTGAGAGCCATGGAACTGTGCAGCGAACATTACAATGGTGGCACTCTTTATCCTAATGGAACATTCAGCTTTTATTCAGAGAAAAATCAAGGTATGATAATACTGATGTGAGAAAAATTCCAAGGATGGTGATACCGGAAAACTAAATGCTTTGGAAAAATTATCCAACTTATTTTTATGCTTCAGTTCTAAACTTTTTAGTCATAGGTAGGTTTGTTACTAAGCACCTAAGCATGACAGGTAAATAATATTTAAAATGTTACTAAGCAACTTAACATGACAGGTAAACAATATTTAAAATGTTGATTTATTGAATGACATGATATAAGATAGAATAGATGATGGAGACAAGCTGTCTCATTGATGAGGGGCAGAAGGACCTTTTTCAGGACGTCTGGATTAGGCTTTATTTTTACGGGAAATACAGGATTGGGCCTTAATTTTGTGGGAATTCTGGATTTACCCTTATAGGGACTCAGAAATTAATGATCAATTTAGGGATCTTGGAAAGAATACTTTATTTTTGGGGGAATTCTGGATGACACCTCCTCCTACCACCCCTCATTAATGTTACCTACATCTCCTCATATTTATGTACGATATATCAGTAAGACAACCTCCCAAACTGAGACTGATTACGTTTTAAATATGTAGGGTAATATACCAAAGAGACAGCAACCAAACAACACAAGTAACTAGAAAATATCTAGAGTGCAAAATACAGTCTGTTAAGCTCTACATTGCACTGAGTTAAGAAAGTTGTGGAAAGATTCAACAGGATCAATCAAGGATCTGTCATCAAAACCAAATACTTATTATTGAATTTTTAACTGGATTTCCAATTCACAGCCTCTTGTTTAAAAAATGGTTTTACCAAATACATTACATACATATGGATATAAGAAAGGAAACCACTTGACAGAAAAACAATAAAATCAAGAGATAGTACTTATGGAGGGCAATGTTATAAAAATATCTCCTAATGAATAACGAAAATAGAATCAATAATATGATACATAAAAGTCAAGTACTGAGTACAGATAAATTAACTTAAACTTTTAACATAGCAGAAACCATAGCTTATATTTCTTATCTGAAATAATGAAGAGCTTATTATTGTTGTTACATTTGTTTCATTTGCAATGAACCTACATTCATTTTTATGTCATTCTATGATAGAAAGGGGGCCTTATGTTTTCTGCTCTGTGCCTCTGCCTGTTAGTTTGTCCTGTATCAGGTTAAGATTTTGATTTAGGTAATGAAGGTGTGGTCACATCAACTTAATTTTTGGGACACATGTTTACCGTAATGTGAACTTTTCATATTAAATGGCAGATTTCTGTTTTGATCCCTATTACACGGTTCACTGAATATAAAAATGTGATAATTTAAAATGAGCACATTCTCAGGTATAAGTCTTGGTTAATATTGTTTACCATGAAGTATTGATCTCATCAGCTTATATTTCAGTGCATATTTTTGGTTGTATTTTAGGGCATATTTATACGTGTATTTTTTACTTTTGTACACATTCATTACCAGCAGTATTCATTTTCATCCTGTTTAGGACAAAGTTATTGTTTTTAACTTTAGAATACTCATTTCAAGAATCCTCCTGCACCCCTCCACAAGTATCAAATGGTGTCCCTTCACAGTATATAACTCCCATTGTCTCGTATGACTTCTAGCCTTGAAAAATATAGGTTTAGAAAGGTAATTGTCCATGAAAGATGAACATTTTTTTAGACTGCCATGCAAAATTTGATGCCTGTTTTGAAGAATATAACATGCTCATGGCTCACTGTATTTTTATAAAGAAAATTATCAATATACATGGTCTCATTTTTATGTACTGTCGAAAACCTTTATTGAACTCTGAATGTCTTTTGTGTCGTTGGGTTGATGTCTCATTTAATCATACCACACATCTCCTTTTATTCATATATTATGTATAAATATGATAAATAAATGAATGATTTGGGAAGTATATAAAACACTTCCATAGTTTTAATTCAAGAAAACACACTCAAAGAAGTACAATATACTGTCACGTATAAATCTAGTTGCCGCAATAGTAGCTTTGCTGACTCAATACAGAACAATGAACAGGTTACAGTGATTTGATTGCAAAGTCAGTAGAATGTATGTCTTTTACTGTGTATTACAGAACCTGGGGCTAATAAAATTGAAAATCTAGATAGCATTAGACATTGAACAGTAAGGGACTTCTGTAGAGACTTCTTGGACCACACAGTTGGTTTTATAGCACTTTTAATCATTATTTTTACAATAACATGAAAATTTAAAATTTGTTCCTCAGTCTTCCTGAAATTCATGCTATTCATATTATTACTACATTATTTTCTAGTAAGTTAAATAATGGCCAGTGACAAGTATTACAATCTAATTCTGGACCTAAAACAAGTTAAAGCAATCTTGAAATGGTCGTACAGGGATAATATACAGAATATTGTGACTGACATTGTTCAACCTGAGCTGGTCGTACAGGGGTAATATACAGAATATTGTGACTGACATTGTTCAACCTGAGCTGGTCATACAGGGATAATATACAGAATATTGTGACTGACATTGTTCAACCTGAGCTGGTCATACAGGGATAATATACAGAATATTGTGACTGACATTGTTCAACCTGAGCTGGTTCAATGTAAAACAAATTGAACAAGAAAAGAAGAGAGAAAAATTACTGCATGTAACAAAATTTCTGCTATCTTCTCTGCATTAGTACCATTTAACAAAGTTACAAAGTTTCCAGCGCTGTGAAACATTTAATGAGAAAAAATAGAATAAAGTTTTGTGTAAAGTGGAAACTAGAGCTCAGTGATTAAAAGGATTAACCAGTGATTGATTAGCAATTTTTAAAATGTCACCATTAAAGGTTATTTTGCAAAAGGATGAGATCAGTTTATTTTCCAATAGTTGAAATGCAACCAAAAAAAAAGGAAAATATCTGATGTAGTTGTCTAATCATTGACATAATGGTGAAGTTGACAAGCAACAGATAAGTCTCACAAGAAATGGCAAACTAAATATCTGTATATGGCTGTTGGATATATGGATACTGCTTTGCATGATATCTTTGATAAAAAAGAAAAACAATAGCCTACTTTAATAAAAATTGATACCATTCGAGTTTATATCACAAATGTATACCACTACCTTATTCGATCAATATCGTCCTGTCTTATGGTTGTGGCGTGTCCTATGAAAATTTTGAATTACACATACCATGTACTTAAAGTATTTTTATATTAAACAGTTTAAATGATATGAGTACAAATTGTACACAAAGATTCGTTAGAATTTCCCCAACTTTTGTGCTTTCAAGCAAGTCTCATTAGCAATTGTTCACCTAAATCTACATTTCTAACAGATGAAGTATAATATTTTGTTTGTTAGAGAGTCTAAGACTTGTATGACTTAAAATCTATGGTTGAAGGATATTTGTTGTGTAAGATATGCTTGTATATATGACAATGCTGCAATTTTGTAAATTTTAAAATGTGGCAGATAATCGTTTTATTCCAACTGGGCTAAAATGCATCCTTAACCATCCAAATCGAAATTTTTACTAGGCAAAGTTATTTATTTCACCTTTGCTTTAATTAATCTTCAAAAATGATGTAAATAAATCCTACAGAATCCTTAGTAAGTATGGTGATTTTAAGTTTTAACATTAATTTCAGATTGTGTTTTTGTGTATCCAGTACAAGAAACAAATAAAACAACAGGAAAGACAGAGGATAAATATGACATCAAGGAGTATCTAACTCAAAACAACAAAACAAATTTATTTCACAGGTAATATAAATGCCCTGTCTCAAAATTATGAAAAGTATCTATTCCACAGGTAAAATTGCCTGTCACAATACAACAAAACATATCTATTTCACAGGTAATTTGTCCTGTCAAAAAACAACAAAATATATCTATTTCACAGGTAATATGTTACTGTCACAAAACAACAAAACATATCTATTTCACAGGTAATATGTTACTGTCACAAAACAACAAACATATCTATTTCACAGGTAATATGTTACTGTCACAAAACAACAAAACATATCTATTTCACAGGTAATATGTTACTGTCACAAAACAACAAAACATATCTATTTCACAGGTAATATGTTACTGTCACAAAACAACAAAACATATCTATTTCACAGGTAATATGTTACTGTCACAAAACAACAAACATATCTATTTCACAGGTAATTTGTAGTGTCAAAAAAAAACCAAACACATCTATTTCACAGGTAATATGTCCTGTCACAAAACAAAAAACATATCTATTTCACAGGTAATTTGTCCTGTCAAAAAACAACAAAATATATCTATTTCACATGTAATATGTAGTCACAAAACAAAAAACATATCTAGTTTGGATATTATGTAATCTTATATTAGTACAGTATTTTAGAGCATTCTTTTTACCTGTTTGAATACCCTTCATAGATAACAAGTCTGAGGACATCTATAAAATATTTATTTCACAGTCATTATTTCAAAGTATGCTTGGTTATAAATACTATGTAGAAGAACAGAAATATAAATATTTGTATATTCCACATAATCGTGCATCAGAGAGACAAAAATAGAAATTTTTTACCAGGTATAAATTTGAGAAATTAATTTTGAAAAGGTAAAATACTAGAAGGAAACCTGTGACGGTTCCTCAAATCTTTTACACATTTTAAAGATTTATTTAAAACCTGCTTTCCTCTGTTTCTTTTTAGGATTATCAAGTTGACCCTGAAGTTCAAAATAAAATCCTACAGACTAAATGCAGAAGGAAGAAAAGTAGCACCTGAATGTTTCTTAGTCCATGGCCTTGTAAGTTGGCTTTCGATTCCATGGCCTTTTCAACTGCTTGGTATCACATATTATTGGTGTTCTTACTGTCTGTATTACTCTGCTCATCTCTTCATAAAATTACATATCATGTCTTTGTGACTTCTTATTGTGACTCACAGCTGATATTTTACAATATCAATATGCAGACAACCTGATAATCGGTTCATATTGAATATAGTATTAACACTAAGCTAAGGCTATTGATAATTTTTTTTATATTTTCAGAAAGTTCAAAGTTCTTCCTGTGAGAAACAACTAAAAATAATTCATAATCATTATGTCTTCAAACATGGGAATGGTTTATAAGTTATCTAGTATATTTTTATGTCCCCACAGAAAGTAAAAGGGTCATTAATAGTTACCCTTGACCGTCTGTCTTTCCATTCGTCCGTCCGTCTTTACATTTGTCCATCCCATTTTGTTTCCTCACTCTAAGTTAGGTTTGCCTCATCCAAATTTTATGAAACTCATACATAATACTAAAAACAATAACACGCAGACAGGGATCGAATTTGGGCAGTGAGTCATTTACCTTTCTAGAGTTATGCCCCTTTTTTAACTTGGAAAATTGCAAAGCTTGAGCGGAGGCATTGGTGTCTTCAGACACATTCTTCTTTTATTTATACTTCCAGCTACCGAGAAATATATCAATTTGTTTGTATAATATTACATATTCTGTGTTGATCCAGGTTAACTCTCTGTGTATTTTGAATTAGATTTGATATACATGAATTAGATGTAGTATTCATTTAGGTTTTTCCATCCTGGACTGACACTTATAAAATATATACTGTGGAATCATTTCTTTGTGGATCGAGTAAACATTTAATTTTTGTGGATACTTGATTTTGTGGTTGTAACAAATACTGAATGCAAGCCTACAGAAAATTCAGGGTTTTTTTTTACCCACAAAATCCACGAAAACTTATCATCCCACAAATAATCCACATTGTATTTCATTTCTTAAATGATACAAATAATCCACATTGAAAATATATTTTTAAGATAGTATTTGATGACTCCAATAGAGATGGACAGATGTTATTGACTTTAGACACAGAACTAGAAGAAAGAACCTGTCATGGCCATTATAATTATGGAGGTTAGTGTTATAGGTATAATACTGTTAATTCATAAATGTCTGTGATACTTTCGTTATTCATAAAAATGTGACTGGATTAGTAGTCTAAATTTCGTTAAATTTTGAATTCGGCAATTTTATGAGCTTTCATTAGTTTATCTTGCATTGTTGTCTGTACAGTACAAATCATTACATATGCAACACCAGATTCCATGTAATTATTTTATCAGTACTTTTGTCTGTAATTTCTGATCATATCATTGTTTAGTGACAAGCAGTTTGCAACCCATTACATGTAATTTATTGCAGTAGCAGTAATAAATATAAGATTTGTTTTAGTAAAGGTAATAAAGATAATTTCTACAGGCTTACATGTAAAAAATGAACCATTATCATATAACTTAACCAAAGACATAAAAGAAATGATAAAAGTAAGTGGTTTGATAAGATATCACAGCTTATCTCATTACATGTAGAACTGTCATGATATCTGATGTATTTATATAGTACATTGTATTTTCACTAGAATGTCATTATATGTAATTGGATACCCTGCATTTATCATGCTTTCCCATTATTTAATGTAAAATTGCTGAAAGACCCCCTCCTAAATTCATGAAATTGTAGAAATATATCATTTTATATCCCCCCACACCCCCAGAGGAGCATTATGTTTTCTGGTCTGTCCATCCATTGCTCATAATATCTTGGGGTGTAAATTAAACATACTCCGGCTAACGTCCTTGTGGTGTATCTAATACTTATCAAGTGTGGTTTATACTGTAGAACTTCTACGGTGACTCTTTTACCTAAGAGTGTTTCAACAGATATTCTTTAAAACTTATCTACATGTAGCTACTCAGAAAGGGTCGGGGTTACTTCCTATATAGAAGGTGATAGGATGTGCCGCTGGAATGGGTCACATTTTCCAGATTGAAAATATGTTAATAGGTGGGGGAAACTATCAGAAATATATGATGAGGTCAATTATTTGCTAATTTTTCTTTGTCTGTCATCTCTCTTGGTGTTTCTGGCTGTATTTTTGTCCACAAATTTCCCCTCTTATGACACTTTGGTATTCCTACTTTTCCTATACATCACACGAACCCCAACCAATATGGGAAAAGGTTACATTTTTATCTACACAATATATGAAATGGTATGCATGTTTAAAATCTAAATTATATGAAAAGGTTGGGGTAAGAGAACCTTAGCAGCACCCCTATCAATTAATTATTTAATTATTGAAGTGCCTTGAACATTCACAAAATGCAAAAGGAAAAGGCAAATTCAAATTTGAAAACAGCTGTAGAACAGTTTTTGTGTTATCTGAGTATCTTAAACTATTGTTTTGTTAAAACATCTCTATCATGCCATTGTTATACAAACTATTTTCCAAGCATCTATTACTTAATTATTCAACTTCTATCGTTTAACTTTTTGGATAGAAATACTTTTTTTTAATTTATAAAAGTGTTGTTCGTGAAATTTTACTGGATAAAATTACTTCAGTTGAACTGAAAAAAAATGAAACTTTGTCAAATTCACCATAGTACCACACCTTTTCAAAAGTTACGATTTGATTATTGTCTATAAATAGGTGCAAGACCTACCCAGCCCATGCATGTACAGTCGGTTGGACTATATGTATATTTCTGAGAGAAAAAAAAATGTATGGTGGACCATATGCGTACCGTTCAAGGACATACACATATGGTCTGGAATATATATATATAAATGGTGGTGAAAATGCTGCAATTATTGGTCAGTGTATTTAACACCACCACAATACTTGCCAGATGCATCTTCTCCCTATAGGTTGCACTGTTGTAAATCACACAATGCATTTTTCCATAGGAACCTCATTTATCCCCTAAAACTGGCCCTCTTTAACTATGAAGGGCTGGAAAAAATATTTCTGGAATAAAAAGTTCACATTCTCTTTTTTTTTTTTTTAAAAAGATCAAAAGATTGGGTTGTGTGGCATATTTTCAACATTTATAGGCCTCCAAATCCTTAGTGTTTAAGCTTTCACTAAAACTTTGTACTACCCCTCCCTTAAATTAAAGTCAGCAATCCAAATGCATTTATACTGGTAAAATTCCAAGGTTGTATCTCTATGAGATGAAACAAGATGATCATATCTGGGAACCAGTAGGTAAACAAAACAAGATATTAATGAAGATTAAATTATTCCCCAAAATAGGTGTTGTTTATAAATCAGCTATATTTACAAAGTGCAACCTATAAAATGTTGTTGACAAATAGATATTTTTTCTTTCAAACTGTTGCTAAATGATTGCAATTAAACAATATCTCTTGAAATTAGTCAAGAATGTTGGAGGAACTTCATTCTGTCTATTGTAATATATATTGAAATATAAAAATGGTCATAAGAATATGGCGATTATGAACAAAAATGTTAATAGGCCATTTGTTTTATCCTGATAATACACAGGTCTATGTTACATTTCACACCATGACAAAAAAGATAAATGAAAGACACATATGTAAAAAATGTCTATTCATGTGTCATTTTATTTTTTGCAATATCTAAATCATTAAGATACTGTAATATCGCAGCTCATTAATGATTTTTAAGTACTAAATTAATTTGATTTCTTGATACTATCCAGACCTTAGTGGAGCCTTAAGATTATTTTGAGAGCTTTTTCTTAAAATCTTGATACTAGAATTGAAGTACCTTCAAGGACAGACAATATAAAGTGAACTGAAGCAATTAACTTTCTGTTTAATCTAAAACAAAGATGTTATGACATGTATATGAACTACAGTAGCAAATAATGAATGCATGGGGTTAATAATGTTACAAACTGCATAAATATGGACTATCAGACAAGCACAAGAAAAATACCTTCAATTTATTTAGGAGTTTATCAGAAGAAATTTGGTATATTGCAAACTGAAAGACTTACCTGTGTGCTACGATATTCAGTCAAAAATTTTAAAATTGGTAATACAAACATGACTTGAAAAAGTAAATTTTTCAATTTTTTGCAACTTTACATGTGTAACTTTCAGATACTTACAGAAAATGTCATTAAAATTTTTTATCTGAAGACAAAAATGTGGTTTAGAGACTGCCCATGTGAATACATGTATGCTGACCCTACTTCTTGAGTCTTGTGTGTTCTTGATAATTGTGTTTGAATGTGTGCAAGGGAAATAATACACAGAATGCTTTAAATTTCAGAACTTTGTTAAATACCTATAAATTTGCAAAAACAAACAGCAATATGACTTTAAACATATTAAAAAAAAATTGAAATATCCTGAAATTATCCATATTTACATAAAAGTGTTTTATCATTTACAGCACAATCCTCAGATTTTGACAATTAAACCCGCGTAAACAACACCATAAAGCAGAAATTTGACTTCCCAAAGAGCGTCTCAGATAAAACATTTAGATACCGGTAGTATTGTTTTTCTGTTAAATTAGAAGATATATCAAGAATAAACCACCCAAGTGCGAGAGGTGACCCAATTAAGTTCAGGTTATATTCTGCATTTTCCATCAAAGTGAAATATTTTGCATCCAAAAATAGTTGAGAAAAAACAAATAAAGGAAAACTGTAAATAATGGAAAAATATGTACATGAACAAAATCATCATGCTGCCTTTACAATGATTTTTTTTTAATTCTGCATTTAAATTTAAAAAATTTAAAAATACTACAAAAAGTTAGACCTACATTTTGTTTTTTATTACAACTGTGATTATAAATGTGTTATTTTTATACAACCGCAAAACAATTTTGCGGTCGTATATTGGTATGACGTTGGCGTCGTCGTTGTCGTCCGAAGACACATTGGTTTTCGCACTCTAACTTTAGTTTAAGTGAATGGATCTCTATGAAATTTTACCATAAGGTTCAATACCACAAAAGGAAGGTGGGGATTGATTTTGGGGTTATGGTACCAACAGTTAAGGAATAAGGGGCCAAAAAGGGCCAAAAATAAGCATTTTTGTAACTTCCAGACATAACTTGTGTGTTAGTGTATGGATCTCTCTGACATTGTACCACAAGGTTCCATATCACAAAGGGAAGGCTGGGATTGATTTTGGGGGTAATTGCCTCAAAATTTTAGGAATTAGGGGCCAAAAGGGGCAAAAAACAATAAAATTGAGAATGGAAATGGGGAATGTGTCAAAGAGACAACAACTCGACCATAGAGCAGACAACAGCCGAAGGTCACCAATGGGTCTTCAATGCAAAAAACAAGCATTTTTCTAGTTTCATGACAATAACTTGTGTGTAAGTGTATGGATCTCTCTGACATTGTACCACAAAGTTCCATATCACAAAGGGAATGCTCGGATTGATTTTGGGGGTAATTGATTCCAAATTTTAGGAATTAGGGGCCAAAAAGGGGCAAAAAACAAGCATTTTTCTAGTTTCATGACAATAACTTGTGTGTAAGTGTTTGGATCTTAATGAAATTGTACTACAAGGTTCCATATCACAAAGGGAAAGCTGGAATTGAGTTTGGGGGGTAATTGCCCAAAGCGTTTAGGAATAAGGGGCCAAAAATAAGCATTTGTCTAGTTTCCAGACAATAACTTGTGTTCAAGTGTATGGATCTCTCTTAAATTGTACTGCAAGGTACCATACCACATATGGAAGGCTGGGATTGATTTTGGGGGTAATTCCCTCAAAATTTTAGGAATTAAGGGCCATAAAGGGGCAAAAAACAAGCATTTTTCTAGTTTCAGGACAATAACTTGTTTGTAAGTGCATGGATCTTTATGAAATTGTACTGCAAGGTTCCATATCAGAAAGGGAAAGCTGGGTTTGAGTTTGGGGGTAATTGCTCTAAATGTTTAGGAATTTGGGGCCAAAAAGGGGCCAAAAAACAAGCATTTTTCCAGTTTCCAGACAATAACTTGTGTTCAAGTGTATGGATCTCTCTGAAATTGTACTGCAAGGTACCATACCACAAAGGGAAGGCTGGGATTGAGTTTGGGGGTGATGAATCATAAGGGGGTTCAAAAAAATT